CGGAAACAATGCTCATGCATCATTGGTAAAAAATAACTTGAAACTGCACCTGAATAATGAAGTAATTAGAAATGAAAGTAATGCAAAAAATCTTGGTTTAATTTTAGATGAGTCGTTAAGATTTACAGAACATATCAATCGAAATATTCAAAGAGTCTATTCAGAAATCCGCCTTATTTAGGTATATCGTAAAATAACATTCAGGACGAAGTTTGGCCAGCAAACTCTCATGTCACACACGGTCAAAAACCTTAGGAATATCAAGCGCATCAGCTCTTGAATCTCCATGTTTCTCGATTGCGTTATTCTTTGCAACAAAGGTGCACTTTTTTGTATATTTGATAAAACATGTTCCATTCTTTAGACCAATTTCATTCAGGTTAGATATGTTTCGATAGTTCATTTGTTTTTAGCTCGGGGTCGTATTTAAGCTAGATAAGAGTCTTTTAAATTGCCGTATAACAATTTTATCGATTCTGTACATGCTTTTCAATAAATATCAGGTTGGAAGAATACAGTTGTGTACTTGTTACTGCTGCCTCGGCTATTATCTAATACACCCAAGCGGTGAGAAAATGAGAGACGCTTGAAATAAATTATGTCTAAAGGTGCGTATTCGCCAAAAAAGCGAGCACGAGCGAACAAGAGTGAACGAGCATTCTGCATCAATAATCAATAATGAGCGAACACGAGAAAACATACACGAATGCTCGCTCATGCTCGCTCGTGCTCGCACCTTATGAACACGCACCTTAAAGGTGCGTATTCATCAAAAAAAGGCAAGCACGAGCGAGCATTAGTGTATATTTGCTCGTGTTTGCTCGACATATTGATGTCTCGTCCCCACCACAGCGAATATCTTCAAGTTCGTAGTACCGCCTGCTTCTCGATCTTTTCTGAACGCGAACAAGCATACGTTCGCTCGCTCGCTCACTCTTGTTCGCTCGTGCTCGCTTTTTTGATGAATACGCACCTTAACAGGAACTTCCAAACTTTGACAATTGATGACGCCCATCTTGTTGAAGCTACATCTGTCAAATTTGTTGTCATTTATTCAGTCAGGTTGTGGAATTGGCCGCGGTGGTAGTGCGCCCGACTCACGATCGGAAGGCCGTGGGTTCGATTCCCGCCTCGACCAGATATTTTTCTCGAGATAATTTATCTGGTTGAAGCTGGGACGATTCTGCAACCGTGTTAGGAATCACACGTTAAAAGGTAAGACCTCGTTAGTCCTTAGCTCGCACAAGTTTCTCAACTTCTGAGAATTGTCGTTCGTATGGGGCAGATTTTTTTTTAAACAGGTTTGCCAAATCACCATGGCGACCGTAAAAACATGAAACAGGCCCATTACGGCGATCGTAATGGCCTTGTCTCATGCTATTGAAAATAATATTGGTTTGCTTATAGACTGATCGAGTTAGCGGTATTATACACTTAACGAGCCTAATCGGTCCCAATACCTCTTTATATTCACAGAAAAAAGAAAAATTCAAGAAGCAACAGTTTAAATTGGCCGCGTGTCTGTTGACCAATAAAATTGATCGTGTCTACAGCGGTGTTGCCAAGTGTCAATTATTTCAACAAAAATACGAAGTTGTGAAACATTCGAAAGAGTACATTGTCTCATACATAAAAGAGAGAAAGCTGAGTGGGTGGTAATATGTTTAATATATTACATTGCAATTCTTATTTTTGTTGGGTGGCATGAATGCATTTATTTTATTAGAGTTTATGAGCCTTCGAGAACCGTTTCAAAATATAACTCGTTAAATTTTATTTAGAACCATGGTTTTCGAGTACATTTTATCCTATATGTAGAATTTTTTCATGAATTTGAACGTTAACGGGTTCATATTCACTTCCCTCAAATAAAATTTTTGTAATATCAACATGAAAATGTCTACTAGCGGAGGGAGGTATTTCAAAAATAACGTTTTTATTGCGTTTTGTGTCATTTGGATCCCATGTATAATTAATTCTCCCTTCCAATGCATTTCTTACACTTTCTTCTTAGATTGTTGTCGGAAATGAGTGTGATTTCACTTTGAATCACGAATGAATCCGAAACTGTATATACGCTCCATGAATTTTACAATTTATCAATTTTCATTATTTGTATTGTTCCCATTAGTCAATCGAACAAGAAGCGGGACTAGGCCCGTGACGTCACGGGCCTAGAAAATCCGATTTCCAATAACTGATTACGGGAAAACAACGCAATTTAGAGAGCTGAAACAAAGTACACTATTTTTCAATTTGAAATTACTACCAAATGAACTGTAAACCAAAAATCATGAAACAAACCCATTGTCCTACAGAAAAGACTATTCGCAATGTGTTGGATGAATTTGAGTCCACCGGTTCACTAAAAGATCGATTAACACCCGTACTTCTATGAAACGCAAGATTCACCGAAGACATCACCGCTGTCTGTGAGAGTGAGCAGGAAAATCCGAGAGGGTCGATTTTGTGTCGCTCACAAGACTTGGGCCTGCACCCGTAAAAATTTCAACTAACCCAGGAACTGAAGATGAACAACCTTAGACAACTACATGTGTTCGCTGTTCTAATTTTCATCGAAAAATCATCTTCAGCGATGAGGCCCATTTCTGGATGGATGGATACAAAATTTTCGAATTTGGGACGATATCAATCTACATGCATCCCGCAAAAGTCATTGTTTGGTGTGGATTTTGGGCTGGCGGCGTCATTGGTCCATATTTCTTTGAGAACAGCGTTGGCCAGGCCATCACTATCAACGGCGAGCACTGTAGGTGGATGATTACCAAATTATTTTGGCACGAATTGGAAGATTCGGACACCAACAACATGTGGTTTCAACATATTGGATATTCTGCACGAGCAATTGGAAGTATGGGACGGGACCAACTTTGATTTCGCACACAGAGATTTTTCAATTTTCACATATTCTTCTCTGTTCAACTATGTCTCATTGGCAGTGAGTAATACTTTTGCAATACATGAAGGTAGATCATTTTTTCCAAATCTTTCTGGTATGACAGTGGGCAGATATATCATTATACTTAATTTTTTGAAGATGGTGGAAATGTATGTTAATTCAGCGACTATCTAAGTAAAACTTATTTTTTAGTTATTATAGATCATTATACACTTCACTATGCATTTTATTTTCGGTTTCAATCAATTCATCTCTGAATGCTTTACCTGTTGCATCTCTTGGAACACTATTAGACGATGAATTTTTCAGAATTGCATTAGGACTTAGGATGGGTTCATCTATTTGTGTTTCTCATACTTGTGTTTGCGGTAGTATAGTTGATGAGAAAGGTACACATGGTTTGAGTTGCAGGAGAAGTGCAGAGCGTACATCTCGACATCACCAAGTGAACGACATATTGAAACGAGCTATGTTGTCAGCGGATGTTCCTGCAATTCTGGAACCCTTAGGTACCAGTCGAGATGATGGTAAACGACCAAATGGTATGCCTCTCATACCAATAATGACCATTGAATTTGGTCATTATTACGCCTTGGTCAAAGAAGAAACGGACTGGTTTAAGTTTGACGATAGTCGTGTCACGAAGTGTTGTGGTGATGCATTGAATTTATTGGAGCCTCTGGAGACACCCTACATTTTGTTTTATAAGAGAGAGGGCATTGTTGGATCAAGATCTTCAGATGATGTGGTGCTGCAGGTTTTTCCGGGTTTTCCTGCAGCTGAAAAAGCAAATGCGCCACTGGAATCAATGAAGTCGCCCGGGAGCGCCAATTAATTTTTATTGTTGTTTTTATTTTATTTTTATCGTTGTTTTATATTACTTTGTTCCCTAGAACAAAATAAAAAACATGGGCAGGTATTTCATTATACTTAATTTTCTGAAAATGGTGGAAATGTATGTTAATTCAGCGACTATCTAAGTAAAACTTATTTTTTAGTTATTATAGCTCATTATACACTCAACTATGCATTTTATTTTCGGTTTGAATTAATTCATCTCAAGAACAAAATAAAAAACATTTCCAGATTTTGGGAGGTTCTAAGTAGGTCGAAGTCATTAGACAATAATACATGGAATGAACAAAAAAAACACACGTAACTAATCTACATCTATGCCCCTTTTATATTTCACTTCAATATTATATGGTAAATAAATTTTTTACAGGAAAACCAAAACATTTTTTTAGAATCCCAAGAAAAACGTAATATATTTTCAAGCGGCAGTCTATTTGGAATAACTACTTCCCTCTACGCATGCTGAATCATATAGAAATCCATGTTATTTTTCTTAAATACGAATCATTCATTACGAATCTGTTTAAAATCTGTGTCACTGAACTACAACTACATCTACATCTACAACTAAATCAAACGATATGCATGCAAAATAATATATCTAACAATATTTATTGAACCAAAATTCCGTTTGCGAGGATTTCCTCTCAAACTTAAGTCAGTGCGACAAAATCTGTCAATTTTGCCATTTTATTTCCTTCAAATTCAACAAAAGGGATATTACTTCAAAAAACTTGGTTCGATTTCATATGGCTATGGAAGTTATGATGTTTCCACTTTGTGTAGAGAAGAAATAGCACCGGGCCTAGTGTGGTTCCTTGTGGAACTCCAATTTTAATATTTTTTATTAGAGTTTATGAGCCTTCGAGAACCGTTTCTAAAAGTTTGCCCTTCTACACTTGTATAAAGTTCTCCATTATAATTTTTATATTTTTTCAGATTGTGGAAGGTAAGAATTACCCAAAAAAGGTCGATAAAAAAACTGATTTTTTCCTCCACAAAAAATGACTTTCGTTGAATACTATGAAAAAATATTGATGGTCGTTGGAAAAAATTTCAAAGTGAATTATCGAAAAAGCTAGGTAATTATCAATGAATAATATATTACTTGACTTGCGTCTTCATTGAAGACTACCAAAAATGTTTAAATAATTCGAAAAAAAATATTCGCTTCATGGATCTCTTTTTATCAGTGTACTTCTGTGAAATTTCGAAACACACTCACCTTAAAGCCTACAGCACTTATCACAGACACAAAAATCACCACAGCGTTTGCACTTGCGTCTTTACTGGGATTGAAACAAGCGCGAAATGAAAGTAAAACCCACCGATTTGATAGATACCTGTGCCCGGAGTTATTAACAACTGAATATTACAACGTACCACACACAATCGCGCATCAAATCAAGTAAACTATCTTTTATAATTATCCCCACTAGCCAGGGAGCTACTTGACCTAACCTAAAGTACATGTGCTTTTCGACGACGGAATTTTTTGACGGAAATTTTTGAGTATTTTTCTATTTTCTAGACGTACTGTGAACCGCTTTGTAGATGTCAGTAAATGACGGAATTTTTTCAGCTTCTTTCTTTCTTCTAGACGTACTGTGAGCGGCTTTGTAGATCTCAGTAAATGACGGAAAATATAATAATAATTATTATTATGAACGATGTTATTGCTAGGATCAAACTAAAATAACAATAGTGCCAGAGAAAATGACCTACCAAAAGGCAGAGTTAGCACAGATTAACACCCGGAGAGGGGTGGGACAAGTGCTTTCAATATAATATACAGGGTGTAACATAATGACTCATTCCTGGAACAATTTTAAGAAAAAAAGTTTATGTAAACTTGTGTCCGGAAACGCTTCGTTTCGGAGATACAGGGTGTCGAAATTGCATTTTTTGTTAGTTTTTATTTAATTTTTTCTGTAGTGAAAATGAAAAATTTCAGTGGATAAAAACCAGAAAAATCTCTTCTGAAACAAAATTATTTTACTCTTTCACATTTAATTACACATAAATTATTTTTTTTACTTCAACATGCTTTTATTAGTTTCACCTGTATGTATGTATGTAACTCTCAAGCTCCGTTTAATACTATGGCCAAAAAAGTTATAAATTTGTTGCACAGTTTCAAATAATGTATGTCTTTCTATGACCTCTTTTTCTGCATCATTTTATAACAAATTTAAATTATGAGCAATACATTGGATAAAAACCGCATTTGGGTTGGGATTCTCCTCTGACCTGGGCCCCTTCCGGCTGGGGGCCCATGGCATTTTGCCGACTTGCCACCCTGTTGTTACGCCACTGTAACTAACGTTACTGCAGTTTCATCCTATACGGACATTCCCAAACTTATACAATGAAACTCGTTTTATTTATATTTATACAAATAAAAGTGGTAAAAAACATAAAAATTTTCATTTCTCTTTTCATTATGATCTCCTACCACGTAGTTACGGCTACATCCATCAACTTATTAATAAATGAAAAATAAATATAGTTCAAAAAACTAAAAAACACACTTTTGAACATCGAACTAAAAAGTTTATAATATTTTTTTTACATAAGCTTAAAACAATAATGAACGAAAAATATTCGATTTCATATGGCTATGGAAGTTATGATGTTTTAATTATGGGAATTTGTTTTTGTTTATTATCTTGACTAATTAGGTGTATCTAGTGACGTATTCAATATTTGACAAAGATTATAAGTATTTGACTTTCGTTTTTAAAAGATGGTGAAAGCTTCAATTTATGTCGAAATGGCATGACTTTTTTAAATTTCCTGATGTGAATCTTAAGGAGTCAGGTCGGGTGATCCAGCTGGGCACTCTAAAAGTTTCTGACCCCTTGCATTTTATACGAGTATATAATAGGCTCTCTGAATAAGGTCATTAACTTTTCGATAATTAGTGTGCTTCATTGGAGAATTATTATCGAATACAAGTTCGAAATTTCTGTTAAACGCCAGACTGTGGGATATTGGCATCTGCTATCTGCATTCAGTTCATGATCTAGTGCTTTTCATTAGTTGGCTACTAACACAAATTTGTTAGTAAAATGTATATAAAAAATTACAAATTTATTTCAATCATATGTGCGCTAGCTAAATTATTCAAGAAAATTATTCATATGGCATTATACAAATTCTTCAGCACAATAGCACAGTTTCATGATTTGAAAATCGATAAGCAATACTTTGTTTTCATGTAATCATCAGACTACATGCCGCCAGACAGATGAACTGTTTTGTCGGCACTCTCAAAGGCCAAGAAAACCAATACATAGAAATGAAGCGGCAGCAAATTAGTCCACGTGGACTAGTTTAACGGTTCGTATTGGATAATTTTTACTAACTGAGTTTTATGATTGGCTGAAGAGTCGTGAAATTAAATTTGTAGTCATGTTACGGTGACGAATAGAAATCGGGAATGCGGGGATGGTTATCGCCGTCGTGTCAATGTTCAGTTCAAGAACTGATCGCAATTTGAGTGTTGAAATTCGATGTTGCATGGTGCAGTTATGGATACTTGAATTTTTTTTATTTGTTTGAAATGTGGCGTTCTTGGACAAGTACTAATAGTAATAACGAATGTAATAACTACGCAGACTTTTTCCAATGTAGTGATTCCAATAGCGATAGTGAATAATGCGAAAAAGAGATACCAGTAAATAAGATTCAGATGCATTTGAATATTGAAACATAGAGAGTATGTTCCAATGTATATAAGAATCTACATCTCAAGTTTGGTTTCGAGGGAAACAAACTATTACAAGCAACATCAGATTTGATCGAAATTCCTTTCTCAACTGTACGTAAAATAGTCAAAAACAAACCTTATGAACGCAAGATGCGATGTTTTACAGTATTACCAAAATCTTCAGGTGGTTATCTGATAAGATCATTGAAAAAACAATATAGGACTGTTACAAAAGCAATGAGATACCTACAAGTGAAATCATAAGGAAGAAATTGAATACTTTCCGCCATAACGTGAGATGCTGTGACAAAACTCTTCAGAATTGGATGAAGAAACTAGGATTTACATTGAAAATGAAAAACAAAAGTCAAGCAGTTATGGAAAGCAGAAGAATAGTGAAATTGCGTAAAAAATACTTAGAACAAATAACTAAATATAGACAAGAACAACGGCAAATTTTCTATTTGGACGAAACTTGGTATGACACTCACGGCATAGTTAGCAAAGGGTGGACTGACGGTTCGAGAATGTGTACGCCTAACATGAAATTATGTGGAAAAAAAACTTGAGGACTGCAATGTTGACTATCATGGAAGCTTATATTTTTGAGGAAGGTGTTCAGCAACTCATTGATCCCTCAAGGGGATCAAGGGGAAAATTGAAACCAAGCATTAGGCATAAAAATAATTTTCCAAAATTTGATAAGAAGGAATAGAGCTGATTAAAGATGAAGTATCGAATATTCTACCAGAAGACTGGCAGAAAAGAATTAAAAAAGTAATTTTAGTTGAAGAAGACTATATGAAGATTGGACATTTCCATATTAATGGTAAAAATAAATTCATTATTTATTTAAATGACGACAGTGATAGTGTAACAGAGAATATGGAGCGATCGTAATCATGCTTCAGCTACCGTATTCACCATATTTGCCCCCCTGCGACTTTTTCCTGTTCCCAAGATTGAAAAGATCTATAAAAAGACGGCGTTTTGCGAAGTGCTGCTTCGAAAGTTTAAAGTTGTTACGGGCAGTCAAAATGAAGGTGTGTTTCGAATATTTATATTGAATACAGCCCAACACTTAATAGAGGAGAAACCGTTATGATATTTTGTTTATTCATATGGTTCCAGTGCCACTTTTTATTTGACTGTTTTTATAAACAAATTTGAAGCTTGGCTATAAATTTTATTGGCCAAATCAGTTCCGCGTTCTTTGATGTCGTAAATCAAATACCATAATGATCACTTTGCAATTTTTTTTGCTATTATATTCAACCTGTTTCATTTGATTTCTGATATGGTAATTTATTGCTTTTTGATGCTTCCGATAAACGAATTGGCCAATTATTATCATTAAATATTGTAATTATAATAGGCTTTTCTAAGTCCCATCAGTTCCGTTTTTTTTTCAATAGAATAGACAATGACGTGTTTTTCTTCATTCTCCGAACGCTTATTATGTGATTTGATCGTATAGAGTCCAAATAGTTACCCTTGAAGTTTGGAACTTTTTTGTAATAAATATATAGAGTATAACTTTCAATTAGCAATCAATAAATTTAGTAATTGTTATTGGTATAAAGTACACTGTTTTTTCAACTTCTCCTTCAAAATTTCCATAGATTCTTGGGAAGAGCAGTTTTATTACTCTCACTTGTAATTACTATCTATTTTGTTACCACAATAAAATCTTTAGTGGCACTTTCCATTTCCTTCATAAATAATTATTAAATGGAGCTTTGCATGATAGAAGGTTGAGAATGTATATTTTTTTTAATCCAATGAGGCATCTGTAAATGTTCATCTATTCTATTCCTGAGAAAGGGGGAAGGCAAAGTTTTCTTTATACAGTGCATTTCTTTAATTTCCCGCCCCCCTTTCATTTTTTGAACGGGTCAATTCAAAAAATTGAAATTTTGGATAATGAAATTAATGCATGAATACTTTATTTTGAAGTAAAATTGACAGATGAAACTTTCAAGATGGCGACTGGGCGCCTTCTGGGGCAAAAAAAATAAATGGAAAAGGGGGTATTGTGACACATCATTTTGAAGCTTCTGACGAATACTTCACAACACTAGAATATGAAATCAATATCTTGACCTACCACAAAATGGTGGAACATTTAATAATTTCCTGAAGACAAACACATTAATATCGATATTTCTAGAAATATTCCTTTTTATCTACCATATGGCAATTCTAACAACCCGATGAGGTTTTTTAAGTTATTTTTTGTTTATAAAAAATTGGAGTGACACCAACCCTCACGTTTTCCGGGAAACACATACCCAATATCCAGAAAAAATTAACGTTTGGGCAGGAATATTGGAAAACCATATTGTAGGACCTCTATTTATTGATAAAATTCAACAGGGGAACTGTATTTGAATATGCTGAAAACAACTGTTGACTGTCTCATCACTAAAATCGTCGAAGCGAATCCTAGTAAACTCGATATGGATATTGCACTCCAATAAGATGGACCACCACCACATTACTACAGACAAGTAAGAAACTATTTAGATACTACTTTTCCCGGTCGTTGGATTGGCCATCGAGGTCCTACAGAATGGCCAGCTCGCTCGCCAGATTTGACACCTTTTGACTTTTTTATGGGGCTATTTGTGTACGAAAGTGAACCTGATTCAATATTGGATATACGGCAGAGATTATAATAAATA